TTGCAGTAAGGTAACTTTCAGAATCAGGCTGAGACCTACTTTAGTTGTCAGCTGGGTTATATCTAGCAGGCCATTCCACTACTTGTGGAATGAGGGAAAGACATCTCAGTCAAAAAGCAGTATTCATTGCGACAGATGTAGATAAGGTATGCATGAGAATTATTATCTTCTCATTACAAGAGATGTATTAACCAGTGTCGATTGTATTTCGTATACTATGAGAGTAACGAGCGGCAGGTCACGGTCGTTAGGTGGTTCGTCAGCTCATGTCTGATATATATATGTTTTGCAGTCTCGTTGATGTATTTCTGACGAAGATATAAAATCGAAACCGGTTAAATACAACTCTTGTATTGTGAAGATATTCGTTCTCATTTATAATCTGTTTTAATAAAATTCTTTCTTGTAGGTAGACGAGTCGCGGAAGCCGGTTGTTTACTTGGCTATAATTTTTTTTTCTTATCTACACAGGGGTTGCTCTATATCATGTCAAAATGAAATCGGACAAAACATAGGAGTATACTGGTCTCACTACAAAAAATGACTCTTATATCCCTACTAAATATAGAAAGCAGCCCAGTGTCAATCTTAATATATAGGACATTAAATATCAAAGAATTATTACTTCCTACACCAAGAGGTTGAATTGTTTATCAATATCCTTAATATGAATGGTTTTCCCTTAAGTTTCATTTATAACTAAATAAAAAAAACTAGTATATCAAGAATCTACCCCCTTATATTCATCTAAAGATATAATTTTCATTAAATTATCATATATGGGCTCTTTCAGTCACAATTCTGAAAGGAAATTACTCATAGTCCACAATGATTACAGGATTTCTAGCCCATACTGAAGACATTTTTAATGACTCGAACATTGACTGAAGAGCAAAGACATTAATCATCCAATTATGTTTAGTCTTATAAACCTCGGAAGATCTGTTAAACCAATTAAAAAGTAATTATATCAAAGAGAGTGTAATGATTTTGATTGCCTCTTGTAATGAATAACGAACCGTTATTACTGACGCGGATATTCTGATCCCAAAGAAAATGGTGCTATAGGGGGAACTTAAACATAATGACACAAGCCTTCATGATGAGCTCCAGTTCGCCGTCTCCAAACCGAAGAGAGAGAGGATCTTGAGCCAAGGAATCCACTCGTGTAGCCATCAACAGTTGTATCTACTGTATAGGTCAAAACTGGTGTCATCCTTCATGTTCGTTATTCATCTTGAAAGTCTGCTCGGAGGGTCTCAGAGTTACCGCACTACTCCCGCATGAGTTAACAGAGCGACCTGCCATCTTCAAGTATTCTATGTTAAGAGCTTCTCTTACTAAGATGGCCAAATATCGAACAAATATTACTAACAATTGTCGTGAAGGACAAACTCGAACCAATTTACATCGTTTTAGTATTTGGGGCAGGACAGTGTTAAAAGTACTCAGGAAATCGTTAGGTGCAGTTAAATGGAAATAAGTTAAGATCGGTGTGCAGTGCTATCTAATGACAACAGGAAACTAGGAATGAACAGTTATTTTTCTAAGAGTGGTGTGACACAGAACTGTCAATATCGTTACGTGACGGTTTGGTGACGTTTTCGGTACACTGCGGCGTTGTCGTAACATAATCGGTAATCTATAGCACATAATCCTTATAGATTACAGAATTCAGAGCTTATTCTTCCTTCCAACAGCAAAATGAGGATATTAGATCCATGGCTTAAATCGGTATAAACAACTTTTTGATATCTTATTTCTCATATTATTCATGCCCTACGAGATTTTAGGTACAGAAGGATTTCCTGCTAAGATACGTATAAAATTACTAGAACAAACAGAGCTTACTGGTACTATGATCATCAAAATAGCGAACTGAATTCTAACATAGTTTACCATAACATATCCTCGTTCTTTATGAAGCTCGCAGGTTGTATGATGGTAGACGATTTTATTTCTAAAATTATCTCACAACATCCCTTCGTTTCCCCTATTATCCTCAATCTTCGTGTTTTTGTTAGTATTAACAACTAAAATCTTATCTATATAACACTGTACTAACTTTATCTACGTGATGATACTCAAAAGCAAATATTTCTCCATGTGCAAATACGTAGGCTTAGAAGCTGTTGTAAATTACTAGGTTAATTTTCCTAGTAAAGAAAAGAAAAGAAAAAAAAAAAGGTATGCATGTATGTACATGTATACGATATATATATATATATATATATATATATATATATATACACACACACACACACACACACACACACACACACACACACACACACACACACACACACACACACACACACACATATATAAGTCTGATATGCGAAGGTGAGACGGCCGGGCTATGCCTATGAAGGAAGCCCGTCGTGTTGCGACTAATGCCGACGAAGCTTAGTCATCACCAAACATGGTGTCCAGCTACAGCGGTAATCTTAAGGCGACAACAGCTACTTCTCGCGCCTGAGCGATGTATATATACATTTATGTTTATATATATATATATATATATATATATATATATATATATATATATATATATATATATATATATATATAGTCACACCTGAATGCACATATATATACACACATACATATATATGTCCTTCGGGCAAGTCCAGTAGTAACATATCGGCCTCACTTCCAAGGGATCGCCTGGGCATCACGGTGGGCGAGGACTAAGCATTGTCGAGGCAGCACCAGTTGACACACGTTGATCGAATCGGCATTAGTCTGCACAGGCCGGTTTCCCATCATAGGCATAGCCCTATATATCAT